CCAACTCAGTGCTCAAGGGGCTTCCTTTCCCTCTCCTTCTGGCAGTCAAAGAACTGTGGTTTGTATTGGTGTAGGATTCTGAATTTGAACTGGTTTGCTATCCCTGCCCCCCCCACCCCCAAGACAGGGTACTTTTTACCTAATGTCAGTGTCCTGTGAAGATGCCAGGTTTTCTATTCTTCTTCTCACGCCACAAAAAGACAAAGGATGATTTCCCGGAGTTGAGACAGAGACTGTGGCAGCGATGATCTGGCCCCTGCTCCAGGAACAGTCTGGTCTCGTGTCAGAGCAGAGTCCTGTCCAGGCTGTGGGACTGTCTCCTGCTTCTCCCCCAGGAGCAGCCAGCTGCTCTCTGTATTACAGGCGGCTCCATGGCACCTGGATCCTCTATGCCTGTCATGTACTCATGCAGGGCCCAGAGCATGGCTGGTGTCTCCTGGGTGCTTCTCCACTGTCAAAATTTTGCAGGCCCTGCATGAGCCTAAACCCCCAGGGCAGCTCTTTCCTATGTCCTCCCACCCCTCATCTTTCTCTCTCACCAACCAAGAGCTGTTTAGGGAGGGCATAGTCTCCTTGTTTCTAGAGCTTCTAGAGATACAAAGCTTTCATGCTGCCCCATAAAAACAAGGCTTTAAAAACAAGTTAACAACCTCACATTTTCACAGTATTTCTTCTCACCCACAAAATTTTGTGGCAAAACTTCTTCCTGTGCTTTTTTTTTTTTTTTTTCCTGAGGGGGAAAAAAATCTTGTGGGCTTCATCTTTCCTCAGAGGAGCTTGGCGTCCTTCAGAATTCAGTTCACCTGAGGAGCAGCTCAAGCGAGGTGCAAACTCTCTAAGGAACAGACACATAAAAGATTTTTTTTTAAATTTTAGATTATGCAGCTTTTTCTCCGTGGATAATGGGACCTGCAGTCTCTTGCAGCTTTCTTCATCTTAAACAGACACACATCTCCTGCTTCACTTTTTCAGTTTTAACATATTTCCCTATCTTTCAGCTAAATCTCCTATCATTCACTCCGCTCAGGTAACTGGTCTCCTCTCAATTTTTCAGATGTGCCAAGCTCTTTCCCATGAGCCTTTGCAGATGCCCTTCCCCCTACCTAGTCCCAGAGTGCTCTTCCCCACATCTATGCCTGCATAAGCCTATCTCCTCCAGGGACCCCTCCTTGACCCTACGCACCACCCCATGCAAATTGGTATATAAATTACTTCCTCATTTAATCAGTCCCACTGGTGGCTACTTATGTTATTTCCAAACTTTTGTTTTTCTAGTTAACAATATTGTACATAAAGCATATCTACAGGCTAAGTGCCTAGAAGAATTCCCGGATTAGACTGTACATGGAGACACTTGAGCATGGTGTTGAAGGGTCAGGGCTCTGCCACCTGCCAGCTTTCTGACCTCGGGCAAGCTATTTAAACCTTCAGTTCCTTTATTTCTAAAATAAGGATAATAGCAGTTTTCATAGAGTCATTGTGAGAATTAAGTGGACTGGTACACCTCTGGTGCTTAGAGCAGTGCCCAGCACCTAACCACTCTTGTTATTACTAGCATTTAAGATTTTTGATGAATATTGATAAGTTTTTCCTCATAAGTATGTTTTATACTTTGCTATTTCCATTAGTATGAGAATAATTACCTCTTCACACCCTCAACACTGTGTCTTATAAACAACTTTTTTAATCTTTGCTAATCTGATAGATGTATCATGTCATAATCGTTTGATTTCCATTTCTCTTACTATGAGTAAAGGTGAGCATATTCTCACATGTTTAAGTAATTTGAATTTCCTGTATCCTGACTATTTTGCATTTTATGTATTTTGTTACCATTCATCTTGCTGATTTTCAGGAGTCCTTTATATTGGGGAGTTTGGCCTTTGTGTTGTGAGTTACTCTTTCACTGTATTTCCTACTGTTCCTTCATAATATTTATTTCTAATATTAATGGTGTCTTTATGATGTTTTTTATGTTCTAGAAGATCCAGGTTCATGTGTTTTTGTTTGTCATTGTATATTGGGCATCTAGCAAAATGCTGACCAGATAATAAATGAACAATTAATGCTAATGCATGAATATAAGGCTAGATAGGACGTAGAGAATCTGCTTTGGTACCTAAGTAGGCCAGGAAATTGGAAAGGAAACTATTTGTACAGAAACACGATGAATTTGGTTTTGGATATGTTGAGTTTTAGGTGACAGCCAGTATTCTAAGCTAAATATGTTTAAAACTGTTACTTTGGCAAGATACTTATGCAGATTTTGGAGGCTTCACCGTGAAGTTGTTGATTAGAAACAGATGAACTCTGATGGAAAGAATGTTGTGTGAGGGTTTGTAGACAAACGCAATCAGAAACAATTACAGGTGGTTGTAGCTGCCATGACAGTTTTAAAACAAACATGAAAAGAAAAGGAAAACTGTAACTGTTATATATTTGCAAGTATAGCAAGATGAGAAATGTAGAAATAACATAGTATGCGGTACAATAATTATTGAAATGTACTTAGATAAAGTTATGATCACATCCAGATCATCTATTATAAAGAAATGAAAGCATTTACTTATGGAAAACTGAGTCTACCATAATCATGCTACGTATAACCTTGTGGAAATCAAATGTTCTTTTTGTATAAGATATTTGTGTTTTTCAGTTTATAACTGAACGTGATTATGTTTTCTATAACTGGACTATCCCTAAGCGATTAAATACTGTCAGTTTAGTCTCAAGGCCTATCTTTTACAAATTACATTAATTCAGTCTCTTGAAAAGATGAAAAGAAATACTTCTTTTTTCAGAACAGAGAATATATCCTAAAATTAACCCTCTCTCACCCTCCCTCTCTCTACATATACACACACACACATATAACTGAATATACAGGGTATCTTTTTGGCTACAGTCATTAAATAACCACTGTGACTTAAATACATATGGATTAGTAACTTTATAAGACTGTTTT